AAAAACACTCCAATCAGTGAGGTCGAAACAGGCTTGTAAATCCTGAACGAGAATATCCTGCCGTCAGTTTGTGACCTCAAGCTCAAGCGCACTTGGGTTATGCATCAGGACAATGATCCCAAACACACCAGCAAGTCCACCTCTGAATGGCTCAAGAAAAACAAAATTAAGGTTTTGGAGTGGTCAAGTCAAAGTCTGCACTTAAATCCGATTGAGAAGCTGTGGCATGACCTTAAACAGTCCATTCATGCTTGAAAACCCTCCAATGTGGCTGAATTAAAACAATTCTGCAAAGAAGAGTGGGTCAAAATTCCTCCACAGCGATGTGAAAGACTCATTTCCAGTTATCACAAATGCTTGATTGCAGTTGTTGCTGCAAAGGGTGGCACAACCAGTTATTAGATTTAGGGGGCACATAGTGCCTGGCAGGTTTGGACAGCTTTTTTCCCTTAATAAATGAAAACATTATTTCAAAACTGCATTTTGTATTTACTCGATTTTATCTTTGTTTACTATTAAAATTTGTTTGATGATCTGAATCTTTTAAGTGTGAAAAATATAATAATAAAAAAAAAACCTTTGCACGGCACTGTAGACACACACTTCATTTGAATTTTAAATGAGGCTATGAGAGAATAGAAGTCTGCCGCGTAAGACTTCTCTAGTTGAATGTTGCTGAAGGCTTCAAGTGTTCTGCCATCATCGGGGAATGAAGACAGCAGCCCATCCAGCTCCTCTATGAAGGTGCCCAATTGACCTGGGGGTGGGGATAAATTACTACAATGTGGAGTTTTACAGGAGTTGTTACAGTATCAGCATTGCATTCCAAAGAACTATTACTGCATAAGAGTAAGTTGAATATTCCCTGTTATTAGAAATGAAAAGACCAGTACCCCCACCGCTCCCAACCTAATGGGGGGTGTGAGAGAAGGAGAAGTTATTAGAGAGAGCAACAGTGGTTGCTGTGTCCAATTGACAAATCCAGGACTCAGTCAAGCCCAAGATACTAAGAGCTGACTTAAGCCTGGCTCACACTACAGGATTTTTAGCCCGATTTAGCCCCGATTTCCCCCTCCCGAGAATCGGAGCAAAAATCTTGTTGAGCCCCTCGATCGGTCCCGATGTTCGGCGCGGATTATCTGGTAATGTGAGGTGTTCACAGATCGAATCTTGCACCTCCCGATCTGCTCGCACACAAATCGGGGCCAATATCAGGTAATCGGGTTTGATATTTAGGATTGAAGTCGGGATGATGACGGCTATATGATTACGTCAGTACTTTCACAATAGACAATGTGCGACCGCAAAAAAGCTGCTGTACGGCTCCATTGGGTAGTGGAGACGGAGGAAACTGCTTCTTGATGTTTTGTAGTAACACGACTGTCTGTATAATTTGTGGAAAACGTATTACAACCGTAAGGAGAAAGAGAAGCGTTGGAGTGAAATCCCTCAATTTTGACCGTGTATGGGGGTGGCAGGGGGAGTCACGAGCAGGGCGTCTGGGGGCTTTACTCAAGTTAAAACACTTTCATCATCCTCATGAATGTATGCTGGTTTACCTAATGGCTGCGACACACACCAGTTTTTGTTCTGTGCTGATCACAATCGAATCCTTTCATTATAACATACAGAGTGTATACACGATGATGTTAATAATATATTAATTGCACAGTGTGAGATTCATTGGTAATAACAGAACTTTGTGAGATTACAATGAACAAAAAAAGCTCTTCTGGTGTTCAGTGATGCGAGGACAACGTTTGAGCATGTACACGCAATAGGCTATCTGAGCGAGAGCAGAGCCAATTCATGAAATAAAAAAACATAGTTTTATAGTTAAAAGCACACGTCCAGTTTTGTATGAGTGAAGGAAACCACGTGCGGATTCTTGCGGTGAGATTCTTGCTCACGCATTACATGGATCGCGTAACATGCGCTCTCGACATTTGTCATTAAGATCACGCTATAGAAACCACTTAAAATTAAGTATAAAGAAGAGAAGAAAGCGGCCCTAGGCAGCTGCCTACACAGGGCCTAGCGGGGGATAGCGGGGGGGGGGGGGGGGCACCTGGAGGGGCCAGCCAGATTTCAGGGGGGGGCCGGTGCCACCCCTGGCCACCACGTAGACACGCCCCTGGTCACGAGGCGATCACGTGAGGCGCTCCCTCTGGCATGATAATCTTAATAATATCTTGTAGTGTGTGATGCGCCATGATGTTCAAATCTTGTAATGTGTGCATGTTTAAGATTTGGGAGAAGATAATCTGCAAAGATTCTCCTTATGTGTGTGCTGCAACCAGATTTCATAATCGGTTAGGATTTTAAAACTCCTGTAGTGTGAGCCCGGCTTTAGCAGCAAAGGCCAGAATGAAATCAGCACAGAGGTGCAGATAAGGACGCAGGTTTGCAGGTTTGCAGGTTTGCAGGTTTGGATTGCCTTCTGCATGTGATGTTAGAGCGTTGTTGAGAGACAACAATAATGTACTTGAAGCACTTGTTAAATGTGGGAAAAGTGAGGGTGGAAAGAAAGTGGACTGAAATCGAAACTCATGCAGGACAGTTCGCCATTTAAATGCAGTAACGAACAATACAAATAACAAGTAACTTATTTTTAGCCAACGGCTATTATTCTAATTACAAATAATTGCAGCCAAAATACAAATTATAATGAGAGTACAAAATAGAAATAAGCAGTAAATGAATTAACCCTTCCTAGCAACAAATATTCTAAACAACCTTAAAAAAGAAACGAGCTATTAAGCAAACACGTTTGCGCTCTCCAGCACGTATGCTGTCTCCACTGATTGATCACTTCTCCTTTTTCTTGCTTTGTAGGATCTTGAGAGCAAAATAATCCAATTTCTGAAAGATGAGCTGGAGAAGTTTAAGAAAATATTACAAAAAGAGAATATGCAATACTTTGTGGAGGACTTTAATGAGAATAGATGCAGTATCAAGGAAATAGCTCTCGATCTCACACTCTACTTCTTAAGAAATATGAAGCAAGATGAAGCTGCTGATACTCTAGAAGGTAAGAGACTCATGAACATCTGTCATATTGCCTCTTATAAACGTAGGAGAGAAAATTCTGATACAAATGTCTGTATTTTTCTTCTGGTGTTTAGATGAGCTGCTCTTCATTCATCAACTAAAATGTAACCTAAAGAAGAAGTATCAATGTGTGTTTGAAGGAATTACAAAGCAAGGTGACTCCACACTTCTGAATAACATCTACACAGATCTCTATATCACTCAGGGTGGTAGTGAACACGTTAATATTGAACATGAGGTAAGACAGATTGAAGTTACTTCCAGGCATCAAGAATCACAAGAGATACAGGTTGAATGCACAAAGATGTTTAAAGCATCTGAACAAGACAAGCAGATCAGAACTGTACTAACAAAAGGAGTTGCTGGCATCGGAAAATCAGTCTCTGTGCAAAAGTTTGTTCTGGATTGGACTGAAGGAAAAGAAAATCAAGATATCAGCTTCATATTTCCTCTTCCATTTAGAGAGTTGAACTTAAAGGAGAAAGGAACACAAAGCTTGACAAGTATTATAAGTCAGTTTTTCCCAGAAACAAAAACACTGAATCTTAAAAGAAGGAATCAATTCAAAGTCCTGTTCATTCTTGATGGATTGGATGAATGTCGTCTTCCTCTGAACTTTGATGGTAATGAAACATGGTCTGATGTATCATCACCAGCCTCTCTGGATGTTCTCCTAACTAACCTCATCAAGGGAAATCTGCTTCCTTCTGCTCTCATCTGGATCACCACCAGACCAGCAGCTGCCAGTAAGATTCCTCCTGACTGTATAGACCGGGTAACAGAGGTCAGAGGGTTCAATGATGCACAAAAGGAGGAGTACTTCAAAAAAAGATTCACTGATCAGAATCTGGCCAGTGAAATCATTGATCACGTAAAAAAATCAAAGAGTCTGCTTATCATGTGCCACATCCCAGTCTTCTGCTGGATTTCAGCCACTGTTCTCCAGAATATTTTGGAGGAGAAAATAAATAATGATCTGAAAAACAATCAGGCTGATGACGCCTCCAAAATACTGCAGATATCAAATACTGAAGACATTCCTAAGACTCTGACACAAATGTACACACACTTTCTTCGCTTTCAGATCCAGCAGAGCAGACGAAAGTATGATGGAGAATACACACCAGATGTTTCCTGGGATAAAGATGCCATCCTTTCACTAGGGAAACTGGCATTTCATCAGCTGGAAATAAATAACTTGATCTTCTATGACACAGATCTGGAAGCCTGTGGTATTGACGTCTATAAGGCATCAGTGTATTCAGGCATGTGTACCCAGATCTTTAAGGAGGAAACGGGGATTATTCTTGGTACCATGTACTGCTTTGTTCACTTGAGCATTCAAGAGTATATTGCAGCCCTTTATGCACATCTGTTTCTAGACATCAACAAGAAAAGTGTGTTTTTTCAAGACTCTACAGTACAGGAAAACAAAAATGAAGCCATGATTGATTTGCTCAAGACTGCAGTGGACAAGGCACTTGAGAGTGACAATGGACACCTGGATCTTTTTCTTCGTTTCCTTCTTGGTCTGTCACTCCAATCCAATCGGCTACTCTTACGAGGTCTGTTGACACAGCAAGATGACATTGACCAAAGCAAGAAGGAAGTAGTTCAGTACATCAAGCAGAAATTAGAGGATAATTTGTCTCCAGAGAGATCCATCAATCTGTTCTACTGTCTGAATGAACTGAACGACCAAACTCTGGTGAAAGACATTCAGACCCACCTTAGCAAAGGAAGCCTCTCATCTGCTGATCTTTCTCCTGCCCAGTGGTCTGCTTTGGTCTTTGTGTTGTTGACATCAGAGGAAGAACTGGAGGAGTTTGAGCTTCAGAAATTTCAGAAATCAGACAAGTGTCTCATTAGATTATCGGCAGTCATCAAAACTACCAAAAGAGCTTTGTAAGTCATTTATTTACATTTTGTCATGTTTTGTTCTCATTTAAAAATGCATTTTTCAACATTGATCTATAGCAGGTTTGGACACCCCGATCTACACTGATTCTTAACCATATACCATGTATAAATGAATGATACTTTTATGGGTGAATTATATATTTTTTAATCCCAAAATTAATGTAATCCTCAAATTTATTTTGACACTTATTAAGATAATAGAGCTAGCACTTTAAATGTATGATTGATTATTATTAAAGCTATAAACCTTAAATGTTATCTTTTTAATCAAGAATGCTATTATTTATTAAATGTATCACTATATCAATGAAATTCTAATATACCAAAAGTACTAGTTTTTTGAAGAGTAATGTCATTGTAGCTCACATTACTCACAGAATATTTACTGTTCATATAAAAATAATTGGTATAAATGTAATGTTTGTATTTAACAAATATATTACATGTATCTAATTCTGAGGTGTACTTTATTTCTCTTGTAGGCTAAATGATTGTAACCTAACAGACAAAAGCTGTCCAGCTCTGGCTACAGTTCTTGGATCAGATACCAGTCTGAAAGAGCTGAACATGAACAATAATAATCTGCAGGATTCAGGAGTAAAGTATCTCTGCACTGGACTGAAGAGTGTAAATTGCAAATTAGAGATACTGAGGTAAGTTTTGTGACAATCTCGTGTTGAGTCCGAATTCAGATCCATCTGTTAACTTGGAGCTGGTTAGTCTGCCACAGAAAGGAGGGCAGAACTGCTTTAGCTCAGTGGAATTTGTATACTTTCCAACATGAACTGTATATTCCAGGTCCTACCACAGCATTTCGATGGGGTTTAAGTGTGGACCTTTATTAGGTCATTTCAAAACCATTTTGTGGTCACTTGTATGTTTTGGATCATTCAGGTGAAAGAATTTCACCCATGTAGAGTTTTAGATAAATGAACCCTTGTAAATGACTGTAAACTGGATGTTTACAGTCCAGATATTACCGATTCTCATGTGTGTTGATGTTTAAAAGATTAAAGATCCTTTTGTATTCAGTTGTCAGTTTGCTTTGCAAATTACTGTACAAGGAACAAAATATAATTCACTTTATGCTCAAATAATGTAGAGGTAATTTCTAGAATAATCAGACTGTTTCATTCCTGTTCTAGACTTTCAGGCTGCAGTATCACTGAAGAAGGTTATAAAGCTCTGGCTTCAGCTCTGAGATCAAACCCTTCACACCTGATAGAGCTGGATCTCACAGGAAATGATCCTGGACAATCAGGAGTGAAGCAGCTCGATGATTTACTACAGGATCCAAACTATTCACTGAAGACACTGAGGTAAGACAATTCAAAATAAGTTATATGCAGTTGAATTTTTTATGGAAATATTATTTCACTGTTGCATTAAAGTAAATTCAAGAAAAATCCTTTAACATAGTTTGAGAATCACCAAGTTTGGTTAAGAACTATATTGAATCTCACTTGATCTATATTGAATCCCACTTGATCTGCCCTTCTGCAGGTTTTTGGGTCCTGCTGCAGGTGAAGCCTGTCAGTATGTGACTGGAATTGTGGGTAAAAACCCATTATTCCTGAGAGAGCTGAATCTGAGTGGGCGTGAACTAGGAGACTTGAAACAGCTTGTTCCACTACTGCAGGATAAACATTGTACACTTAACACACTGATGTGAGTATTTGACTGCAGTGGTACTAAGATTGAGTGTGAATAAACTAGGAAACTCATAAATATAGGGAAGGTATAGGAATTGTAGATAGGACAGGACAGGAATAGAGAAGATCTGTTTTCTGTTGGAAAATTCACAATGCAGAGTGGAAAAAAGTGTAGAAATGTAGATAACTGAAAATACACATGCAAATATTTATTTGTAAAGGTACATTTTAAGTAATGACAAAAGTTATTGAGCAAGTATGTAAATATGTTAGCAAGTACATTAACTGCTTGTCTTACATTGATCCACAACAGTAGTCTTCTAATAATGATTTATAAATTGAGCTGTCAGGTTGAATTTCACAGTAAATGCCAATTTGGCATCATTTGTCTTTGCATGGTTACATCACTGAATGTATATATCTTGTTTGCATACTGAGTTTGCTGCAGTGGCTGCTTCTAGTTTTTACAATAGTTGCCTAGAATTTTAACTAGTCATCTACCTGGCTGCTTGACATAAAAAAACACTGGAAACCACAGAGATTCCAAACAATGCGATTCATCTGAGAATTTTTTTTTTTTGTATTTGTAGTATAACTAGTCTTATAAGCAAGAATAACATTTTTTTTTTTAGACTTTCAGGCTGCAGTATCACTGAAGAAGGTTATAAAGCTCTGGCTTCAGCTCTGAGATCAAACCCTTCACACCTGATAGAGCTGGATCTCACAGGAAATGATCCTGGACAATCAGGAGTGAAGGAGCTCAATGATTTACTACTGGATGATTCCTGTAAATTAAAGGCCATCAGGTAATAAACCTTGAAATATTTAAAACTGAACCACAGATGTGAAATCAGCTGTAAATCAACAGATAGAGCAGACAAATGGACCAGTGTGGAATAGGAATGACGTGAATTGAATTAAATTGCAATTTCTAAGAAATTCAACAGTCAACATTTTATGGCAAAAATAATGCAAAAACCATAAATGATCTAAAATTCTCATCTACTTCCTGTAGGTTTCTGAAAAGTCCTGCTGCACAGGAAGCATGTGATTATCTCACTGAAGTTCTAGGTACAAGTCCATTAGTACTGAAAGAACTGGATCTGAGTGAAGTTAAATTAGGAGACCTGGATGGGGAGAAACTCTCTGCTCTTTTTATGGACTCTCATAGCAAACTGGAGAAAATTAAGTGAGTGATGTTATACATTTAAAACTCTTGTTTATCATTATAAAAGACTGTCAGTCACATGTGTGATCAGATATAAAGAGCTGTTGATCTGATGTGTGTTAAATATATGCTGAATAATAACTAATGCTGTTTTATTCTGTTCAGGTTGAATAATTGTAGGCTGACAGAGGAAAGCTGTTCAGTTCTAGCTACTGTTCTTTCCTCCAAAACCATCCTGAAAGAGATGAACCTGAACAACAGCCGTCTGCTGGACTCAGGAGTCAAAGAGATCTGTGAGGGACTGAAGAATCCTGTGTGTGAGCTGAAGATACTCAAGTAAGTACATTTCACCAACAGCTACATCAAATGGCACAGCAATTAGATTAATGTTGCACATTGGCTGATTATGGGAATATTATAGATTTTTTTAATCTCCTCCAGACGTTGGAGGAATGTGAGATTACCAGTTTTGTAACTAAAAATAAAATGAAAGAAGAGCATTTGTTAACTGCACTAAAGTAAAAGTAAACACAACTGAAAAAATTTAACTTAACTCAAATAACTAGTATGAAAGTGAAATATATAGATCACTTAAAAGCTTAATTTGTTTTTGTTAAGCAGTATATTATAAAATTTGACATATTCACATCTTGCTTCCATAAAACATGAAAACATAAGTGTGAAAACATATACAAAAGTGTGTTTACTGTGGTACAATTATAAAGATATAGAAGTATGTTATATACAACCCATAGTAATCACTTGTTTTCTTCATATTCCTTTCATCACCTAACCCTTTCCCTGCCACTAACCTATTTTGTGAAACAAA